CATTAATATAGAAGAGAGTATTATTGCAAAAGGAAAAGGAAATCTAGGAGTAGGAATAATCAAATTCGATATTAATCTACAACAAGGAATTAGTTTAACAGATGGGAATCTCGACTCTTCCATTATTATAAAGTACGAATTGAAAAGAAAAAATTTCATGAAAGAAAACAGTAAACCTTTTTCGGTAACATACCAAATAAACTATGCACTGACCAATAGTCATCATAGTCTAGCGTTTAAAGATAAGGAAGCCATCACCATAGAAGATTTATTCAAACCATTAATTCAATTAGAATCCCCTCTAAAAATAATAAAATCAAATTATGATCATCCAAGAATAAGTATAGATGAGAGAAGTTCTTCCATGAGATTAACCAATAAGCAGAAGGAAATGGAGAAAGAAGAGGACAAGGAAATAAAAAACATAACTATACTTCATCAAAATGATAATACTAGTGAAATAAAAAAGTTACAAGAACTAATCGTAGAAATGAGTGAAAAATTGTAAAGATGCCTAACACTTATTACATAAATAAATTGATAGAAGGAATAGATGCAATAGACCTTACATCAGTAGACGAAATTAATACGGTTACGTTAGAATTATCTCACTTCGTATCAGATATTGTAGAAGAACAAATGTCTATCGGAAATTCAGAAACATTAGAGGAAGCCGTATCTAAAACTGAACTAATTACCGATATAATAACTAGTCTAAACAAAATAAAGCAGAAAATAGAAAATAGATAGACCAAAAACAACAAAATGAAAATTAACCACCTTTATTTGGGCCATTCCATGAAAGAAAAAGAAAGAATAAGACTTGTTGCAGAAAACAAGGAAAAGAAAGGAATGATTAGATTCTTTAGTAAGCTTTTTAAAAAGAAACGATTGAGACTTCTCAAAAAACAAGGTATGAAACACAGAAACTTAGAAATTTGGAACCGTAGAATTATTGTTATCAGAGCAATGGGAAAAGACCGAAAGGTGCAACCCGCTTCAACCCGACGGGTTCATTTTGACACATATAATTGCAGCTATTTCGAGACATGTATTCATGGTCGAACCAGCTTCATTCAAAATACTGGTAAGTTTTGATCCAACTGTCAATTCATTGATAATCAAAATAAAAATCCACATTTAATTGAGCATATTGTGTTATTCTATTAAAAGAAAATGAAAGAAAATTCGTAAAAACGGTTTCTTACCAATACAAAACGGCTGAACCATGGTCGTAGGAAAAAATACATTATCACGGACTAGTCTGGTATGACTTCCAGTACGTTTACACAAACCATGGTTCACACACGAGAATTTTGATCCTTCCTTCGAAAGTCGAGGCTGTCTCCTACGACTCCTAGGATGGTATTAATAAACAATCACATTTAATTAAGCATAACAACGTCATTCTAGCGGTTCGAATTGGAACGCAAGATGGGCTCCAAACTCCGCCACCATTGCTTTCGCGGCTTCTGCTTCCCACTTTCCTTGAATCTTCTTCACTGCTGCCATTAAAAACTTCCCTTCGGAGTCCCTAATAACCACTCCTAACCCTTCTCCTTCCTCACCATAGACCCTAGCATCTGTACAGACCGACGTAGATATTGGAGGACGCTGGTTCCAAATTTTACAAACCGACACATGATATGCTTCCTTTTAGAGTTGTTGGTTTTTCTTGTACTCTTCTAGCAGACATTTGGCGCGGGTTGGTATCTCTTCCTCGGGTAGTTTTGCTCCATTGAATAGATGAGCGTTCTTTTCCTTCCATAGAAATCAAAGCAGTACACACCACGCCTCCACTTCCTCAACCTTCCTTTGCTCCAATTTAGCTACCTCCGTATTCGCCAGATGCGTGTTGCCCAATCACACTCAACAAAAGCATGTGTTTGTGTATCTCTTTGTTCGCAGAACGGGCAACGATTTCCCCTGCGAGAATTCGGGGGATCCACCTTAATAACTGTCAGAAGGATCTCACGAGTGAACCACCTCATAAACTGCCGCACCTTCGGCAGCACTTCCAGGCTCCATAGCTTCTTCCATATTGCCGGCTTTCCTAGCCCCACCACTCCATGTTGTGTCATGAATTCCCTAAGCCATAATTTATAACCCTCTTTTACTGTATATTCCCCATTTTTGCTTATGTGCAATATCAAGGTATCCACCTCCCCATTTCCACATAGTGGGATCTGTTTAATTGCTTATGCAACGTCGTGGGGAAAAAAAATCTCGATGACCACATCATCCCATGTTCCCCGTGTCCTGGTCTACCAACTCGCAGACGTAAGAATCGATTGGAAGTCCCATCGGTATCGAGGTGACAAACTATTTCTCAGTTCCCGGTATCCATTAGTGCCCCCCATATTCTCACTTCCATTCCGTTGCCTATCCTCCAAAATAGGCCTCTATTTACCAGATCCTGCGCACTCATAAAGCTACGCAAAAAAAAAAAAAAAAAAAATCGGTCGCTAACCCACTGTGGCATCCATGATCGATGATCTTTTATGATACTTGGCCTTCAAGATGCGAGCAATGAGGGTTTTTGGTTTTTGAATGAAGTCTTGCAGCTATTTCGTGAGGAGGGACTCGTTGGAACCCCTGAGATCCCGCAACCCCATCCCTTCCTCCTCCTTCGAGCTCATCAACTCTTCTCATCTCAGTCCATGCATTCTCCTTTCAACTGCACGTTGTCCCCACAAAAAATTCATAATCATACTATGAAATTCGTCAATCGTTCCTTCCGACACTCTAAATACAGACACCGCATACGTGAACTGACCTTGTGCCACTGACTTTATCAAAACTTCATGGGTTTCCACTATGAGAGTCTTTTCTTCGATCTTTTATTCCAGCAAATGACCATTTGACCCGATTCTTTTTCATAGTCGTTAAGTATCCGTTTCAGCTCCTTGCTTTCCTCCACCGTCGACCTGGTAAAAAAGATATAATCGTCATCATAAAATAGTGGGAAACCACCGGGGCTCCACGAGCTGGTTGTATCCCATGGATTCTCTTCTCCTTCAGTGCCTTTGCGGTATACCGTGACAGTCCTTCTGCAAAGAGGAGGAAGGAATACGGGACAATGGATTCCCCTAGCAAAGCCCCCGACTCGGCTGAAACCGAGGTGATTGATGACCATTAACCAGCACCGGGAAAGTTATTGAGCTAACACAAAGCATTATCACCTTCACCCAACGTTCTGCAAACCCCATACACCGCATCACCCCTACCAAGAAGTGCCACTCCACACGATCGTATGCTTTGGCCATATCCGTTTTTGTAGCCAGGAAACCCATACCCTTCTTTCCTTTGTTCTTCATCGTGTGGAAGCATTCAAAATCTTCCATCATATTATTCACGATTAAACGTCCAGGAACAAAGCACTCTATTCCGGGGATATGACCTTATTCAGAACCTGTTTCAATCTGTTTGCAAAAACTTTCGCCACCAATTTATATAAAACATTACATAAGCTAAATGGGTCAGTAGTCTTTGGGAGTAGTCGACGTCTTAACTTTAGGGATGAATAAATTGCAAATTTGTAAAGTTCACGTTTGCCACTAAGAGTAATTTAATTCATCTTAGTCACTTAAATTAGTTATACAGTTCAAGTTTGGTAACTCTCCGTTACTCTCCGTTAACTCTATCTGATATGGCAGTCAACTCTATGCGTTGATCGTTAAACAAGTGGCGTAGCCATTAAAAATTAATAAAAATAAATCTAATCTATTATAATTTCGGCCTCACTATCATTACAAATTAAAATAAATAAAACAAAAAACATATATAATTAGCAATTTAATCCTTCCCTCTTTGCCACCAATCGTTCAATCTACCCAGTCTCTCTCGGCAGCCCTCCAATCGCCGAAACTCAAGTTTTGGATTATGTTGCGGAACTCCCCGAGTTGAATTAAAATATCCCGCTGGACCTATCGTAGTCCTCCCCGACTTATTTCACCACTTCGTAAAACCAAATCGTTCTTCTGCAATTGAAGGGATCTAGGAGCCTCGCATATCAATTGGGAAATCGCTTGCTCCTTCCCCCGCCGTAGGAGATGAATCGGCCGAGAGCTCTCGAGATTTGAGAATAGGTTCTGCTCGATGACGGCACCGTACCACCGGACTCAGGACGAGAGTTTATGTGTCTTCGGGTCGGATTCGTCGCGTAATTTTGAGAGGTTGAGGGGTGGAGAGGAGTGGGGTCCTAGGACCTTAGTTGAAAAAACTAAATGATTAAATATGTACAGGTACTTGTTGAATATGCTAAGAATTTAGGATCATGTTCATATGAAATTCACTATAATCAACATTATATACACGCATATGGATAGCACTATCAATAAGGTAAATTTTAAAATCGTCAATTTTCTTACCTTCAAGTTTAAAAATTTGTCATTGTACTAGATAGACAGAAAAAAATCTTCCAGTTGTAACTAGCTAGAAAGACCTTTTAAACCTTCAGTTTTGTTCTATTAATATTGAAAATTTTGGTCATCATGAAATCCATTTTTATAATTCGATGGTATGTGTTGGTCGATTTGCTTTTAAAACTAATGAGTATTTTAGTGAGCTATCGAAATGTCACTTTCAAACTATGATTTACATGAGTTATGTAGCTTAATAACTAATAATTTGATGAGATAACTATTTGATCTTATATATATGAGGGATGTATTCTTAGAACTGAATACAGGAATTCATTCATTAATGGGATGACCAGGTGATGTGTTAATTTGTGTCTATGTCTCCTGTCAACTCGTAATACGAAAAGCGGTGACCGGCGAGGTAAATCATGAAATGAGTACTCCATTTCTTGAAGAAGTCAGATTGTTCTAGGAGTTTCATTTTGCTTCTATACGTTTGAATAGTACTTACTAATTAGTGACAAAACAAGTCTTTTCGTCGATAGTTCGACATTAAACCGACTACTGCGTTTGTCAATTGCAATCTTTGTATTTTTGGTTGTCTTTTCACATATATCTATGATAATATTCAAAAAAATAAGACCCCAATAAACTTTAATCTTAATGACCCCACTGCCAGCTTTTATATATTGAACATATAAAAAAAAACCATTTTATTTCATGTAGATGATGGACGTACAACTTTTATTCATTAGTGCTTTATAGTACTAAGAGCACGCAAAATCCTACTTAGTACATGCACAATTTAGAGACCGGATTTAATTAGGTATCTTAATCACACCAAAAAAAAAAAATATAGGTATCTTAATACCGTTTCCTTTTACTCTTCCTGTAATCATCATCTTCTTGTATATAGAGTCTCACTCTCTTCATGGTGATGGCGGAGCATTGCCGCCGCCGCAACCATTTTGACAACCATCGCCACAATATTCAACAGTTTTCCCGCAGAAGCCAAACTGACTGCAGCAATACCCAGGGTCGCACGTCCCGCCGCCGGCCTGCGAGCCGCAGTGAGGGTCGTTGTAGGAGCCGTCGTCGCCGCCCTTGACCACCACGCCACCCTGAGCATTAGCGACGAAGGCAGCAGGGTTCGTCGCCAATAATATTAATGCCGCTATGATCAGCAGTGGGAGAGCCACGTTCATGTTGATCTTCATTTTCTTTTTTCTTCTATCCTTACCACCTTTGATTGTGTGTTTTTCTGACTGCTTTGATTGTGTGATTAGAAAAGTGGTGATTTGGGATCGTATTTATGCACTCCTGATTATGGTTGTTGACAGAATTACACAAGGGTGTTATTTTATTATGTTTTGAGTTTTGTGGAGATCTGCCATTCTATGTACGATGAATTGGTTAAGAAAAGGGAACCCAACAGAGGATTCTTTCCCGTAAAAAGGAGTCGGTCGTTGCCTGCCAGTGCCATCTTCTTTTCCGGTGTGAAGTTAAGGTCCCGATTATGGTTAGTGGAGTTTGCGGACTTCATAATTTCTTCTTGGGGAAAACAACATTGAACATACACACACTCGATCGGCGGAGCCAGCTCCAGCAAGGTGATCCTTTTGCCCAAACAAATAAAATATATATATATATATATAATTAGCACTCCCAAATACTAATGTTAGCTGTACATTTGGGATGTCCGATGAGTATTATAAGTTATATTGTGATATATAATGACCTCGTAAAATGATTTTACTATTATATCATTCAACGTTAATATAAAATCAAGCCCCAATTTCTCAATTCTATCATATATTTGATTGAGTAACTCAACTTCGGGAGCGGATCAGGTCAGTAACCTTTATGGTGAGTAACCATCAGTAACATGTCGACATCCGCATGACATCAGCATCTCCTCTCTCCTACAAGGTGATCCTTTTGGCCAAACAAATAAAAAATATATATATATGGTGGCTTCTATTGTACCTTGGGTAAAATTTAGGGTACGACATACACTGAGTAAAAAACGCTATCTAGATCTCTAATTAACCAGATTTTTGGGCATGATACTATACCCTAACCTATGATGAGTGAACACTAGGTCTTAGTTTTCAAAATAATAAAGCCTAACCCCTAAGATTGTGCATGTAATTTGTTGCATATATTTCGACGATTCATGACCGTCGATTTTTGTTTCTAATTAAATTGATCTTGATGTATGAGATTTATAGAATTAATACCTAGATTTTAATCTTTAAGGGTTTGGGAATCGTATCGGATGTCAAACTTTCGTCAATTTGAGATCTAGATAGTGTTTTCTTGCTCAAGGTATATCGTGCCCTAGATTTTACCCAAGGTACGATAGAACCACCCATATATATATATAATTAGGACTCCCAAATACTAATGTTAGCTGTACATTTGAGATGCCCGATGAGTATTATAAGTTATATTGTGATATATAATGACCTCGTAAAATGATTATACTATTATATCATTCAACGTTAATATAAAATCAAGCCCCAATTCCTCAATTCTATCATATATTTGATTGAGTAACTCAACTTCGGGAGCGGATCAGGTCAGTAACCCTTATGGTGAGTAACCATCAGTAACATGTCGACATCCGCATGACATCAGCATCTCCTCTCTCCTGGAAAGTCTTTTATCTATTCCCTTTTAATCTTTAACGGAAGATTTCTCTCTTGTTTTTAATCGAAATTAAAATTTTTTTGCACAGATAAATCAGATTAAATGTGTTCTTTAAAATGATATCCACTTTGATATATTTTTAGTAAAAAAAAATTTAATAATTTTTTACCAGTCATTACCATATGGTTTGCTCATATTTAATACCATACGGTAAGAAAAGGTACCATGATGGTATGAACATACCAATATGGTAAGAAGGTTGAATACATGATAGTAAGAGTATACTAACTGTCATTTACGACTTTCATCATTGTTTACCATAAGTTACCACCCACATACCATATTGGTAAAGTATGATAATTTTTGGTCTTGTATTTTCTTAACCCAAATATTTGTAGATCCAAAAGATCATGATGAACTCGTTCCTTCTGAGCAAACGTTTTCAAACACGACTTAAAAACGAAGAAGTTACCATATGGAATGTAGTTGGTAAAAAAAAGTTTTAGGACGCACCCAATAAAGGTCCCGTTTTAGGATGGGATTTATGGTCGCAAGGTATTGTCCATCGTCTCTGCGGTATGTGTTCCTTGTCGATCCCTTTCCGAGAGGATAGTCACTTTCCTTAGATCGACTCAAGCTCTTCTTTTGGTTTGCCAAGCTGGTGGCGAGTAGGGCGACGATGAGACTCGTTAGCCATTGTCCAGAGGAAAAGGAGAGAGGAGAGAGCACCTCTCATATTTTTTTATTTTTTTATTCCATCCGTAGGCACTTAAATTAGTTATAGAGTTCAAGTGTGGTCACTCTCCGTTATTCTCTGTTAACTTTATCTGACGTGCCAGTCAACTCTAAGAGTAGACCGTTAAATAAATGATGTGACCATTAAAAAATAATAAACAAAAATAAAAATTATTTTTTATAATTTCCACCTCATTATCACAATTAATTAAAAAATAAATAAACAAAAAAATTATAATTAAATTGAACAAACCCAAACAACAACAAACAAACAAACAAAAAACTCTGATCTTTTGATGCTCCCTTCCTATTGGCAACCAAAGCTTCAAGCGAACAAGTCTAATCTATCCCATCTCTTCCCTGAGATCGCTGAGCCACCCAGTCTTCTATGAGATTGCTGATACACGTGTTTCTTTTATGGTGTTCCGTCTCCTCGCTCGGGTCCACCTTCCTCTGCCGCTAGGAAAGGCCACTCCTTCGCATTACCCAAACGCAAATGTTGTTCAGAATCGATGAAGATGCTGATTTCTTTCACATCTCTGGCTGAAGCAGCAGGTATCGTTCGTGCTGTAGCGGCACAAGCTCGATGGCGGGAGGTTCGGGGATGACGAAGATGATTTAGGGTTGGGATTGAATAATCATGGGGTATTTCCTAGATGTCGGCTTCACTCTTTAACCCAATTGAAGTCATTTGCCTCCGCTGCTCTATCACCTTGACAGTTTCCTCGCAGTACCGAGACCCTAGTAGGAAAGGAAGAGACCTCTCCATCTACCCTGCTTCAGGCGGCAGGAACTCCCTCAACCTCTCAAAATTACGCGACGAATCCGACCCGAAGACACATAAACTCTCGTCCTGAGTCCGGTGGTACGGTGCCGTCATCGAGCAGAACCTATTCTCAAATCTCGAGAGCTCTCGGCCGATTCATCTCCTACGGCGGGCGAAGGAGCAAGTGATTTCCCAATTGATATGCGAGGCTCCTAGATCCCTTCAATTGCAGAAGAACGATTTGGTTTTACGAAGTGGTGAAATAAGTCGGAGAGGACTACGCTTGGTCCAGCGGGAGATTTTAATTCAACTCGGGGAGTTCCGCAACATAATCCAGAACTTGAGTTTCGGCGATTGGAGGGCTGCCGAGAGAGACTGGGTCGATTGAACGATTGGTGGCAAAGAAGGGAAGGATTAAATTGCTAATTATATATGTTTTTTGTTTTATTTATTTTAATTTGTAATGATAGTGAGGCGAAAATTGTAATAGATTAGATTTATTTTTATTAATTTTTAATGGCTACGCCACTTGTTTAACGATCAACTCATAGAGTTGACTGCCATGCCAGATAGAGTTAACGGAGAGTTACCAAACTTGAACTGTATAACTAATTTAAGTGACTAAGATGAATTAAATTAATCTTAGTGGCAAACGTGCACTTTACTAGTAATTCTAGTGACCAAATTTGCAATTTAGTGGACTACTCCCAAAGACTACTGACCCATTTAACTTATGTAATGTTTTATATAAATTGGTGGCGAAAGTTTTTGCAAACAGATTGAAACAGGTTCTGAATAAGGTCATATCCCCGGAATAGAATGCGTTTGTTCCTGGACGTTTAATCATGAATAATATGATGGAAGATTTTGAATGCTTCCACACGATGAAGAACAAAGGGAAGAAGGGTATGGGTTTCCTGGCTGCAAAAATGGATATGGCCAAAGCATACGATCGTGTGGAGTGGCACTTCTTGGTAGGGGTGATGCGGTGTATGGGGTTTGCAGAACGTTGGGTGAAGGTGATAATGCTTTGTGTTAGCTCAATAACTTTCCCGGTGCTGGTTAATGGTCATCAATCACCTCGGTTCCAGCCGAGTCGGGGCTTTGCTTGGGGAATCCATTGTCCCGTATTTCTTCCTCCTCATTGCAGAAGGACTGTCAGGGTATACCGCAAAGGCACCGAAGGAGAAGGGAATACATGGGATACAACCAGCTCGTGGAGCCCCGGTGGTTTCCCACTATTTTATGATGACGATTATATCTTTTTTACCTGATCGACGGTGGAGGAAAGCAAGGAGCTGAAACGGATACTTAACGACTATGAAAAAGAATCGGGTGAAATGGTCAGTTTCGAAAAGTTTGAGGTGTCCTTCAGTTCTAACGTCGTTACCCATAGACATTTGGAGATAGGAGGAGTTCTTGGTATGAAGCTGGTCCGAAAAAACAAGTATTTGGGACTTCCCACGGAAGAGGAAGATCGAAGAAGCTTCTATTTGCTGGAATAAAAGATCGAAGAAAAGACTCTCATAGTGGAAACCCATGAAGTTTTGATAAAGTCAGTGGCACAAGGTCAGTTCACGTATGTGGTGTCTGTATTTAGAGTGTCGGAAGGAACGATTGACGAATTTCATAGTATGATTATGAATTTTTTGTGGGGACAACGTGCAGTTGAAAGGAGAATGCATGGACTGAGGTTAGAAGAGTTGATGAGCTCGAAGGAGGAGGGAGGGATGGGGTTGCGGGACCTCAGGGGTTCCAACGAGTCCCTCCTCACGAAATAGCTGCAAGACTTCATTCAAAAACCAAAAACCCTCATTGCTCGCATCTTGAAGGCCAAGTATCATAAAAGATCATCGATCATGGATGCCACAGTGGGTTAGCGACCGATTTTTTTTTTTTTTTTTGCGTAGCTTTATGAGTGTGCAGGATCTGGTAAATAGAGGCCTATTTTGGAGGATAGGCAACGGAATGGAAGTGAGAATATGGGGGGCACTAATGGTACCGGGAACTGAGAAATAGTTTGTCACCTCGATACCGATGGGACTTCCAATCGAATCTTACGTCTGCGAGTTGGTAGACCAGGACACGGGGAACATGGGATGATGTGGTCATTGAGATTTTTTTCCCCACGACGTTGCATAAGCAATTAAACAGATCCCACTATGTGGAAATGGGGAGGTGGATACCTTGATATGGCACATAAGCAAAAATGGGGAATATACAGTAAAAGAGGGTTATAAATTATGGCTTAGGGAATTCATGACACAACATGGAGTGGTGGGGCTAGGAAAGCCGGCAATATGGAAGAAGCTATGGAGCTTGGAAGTGCTGCCGAAGGTGCGGCAGTTTATGAGGTGGTTCATTCGTGAGATCCTTCTGACAGTTATTAAGGTGGATCCCCAGAATTCTCGCAGGGGAAATCGTTGCCCGTTCTACGAACAAAGAGATACACAAACACACGCTTTTGTTGAGTGTGAGTGGGCAACACGCATCTGGCGAATACGGAGGTAGCTGAATTGGAGCAAAGGAAGGTTGAGGAAGTGGA